GGTATTTTCGGTATAGAAATCAGTTAGTGTCAATATTATCATGGCGTATATCATATGATGTATGATGGTAAGGTAACATTCAACGGTTGAAATTCAATTAGAATCAGGCTCCTGGTCTTCTCTTGCTTGAACTCTAAACAGACCCTCAACATTCGAAATATCACTCATTTCTAGAACTTCATAAGTAAAATTATTGTAAAATTATCGAAATTGCTCAAAAGTGGATATTAAAGATTATGTTTAACAAAAATAAATTATATTGAACAGAAAATCTTTATAGTGAATCATAAATGTTGGACAACCGGCAACTTTATTTCTAGAATACAATCATATAATTAACTAAACATACAAATTTATTACAGTGTATAGATCACAATCATCGAACACGATTCAAAAGCACATCAGCAAATATACCCAGATTAAATAAAACTCAACTAAAAGTCAACGATCATTTTAGTCTCTAAGCCCAAAATATATTATTTCACCAAATTTAAAACATATACAGTCCAAAAAATGTACCAAATTTAAATTAAAATCGTGGATTCCAAGTCAGCCAAGATCTTTAACTTACTGCCAGAGAGAATTACATGTTTGTCGAGAAGTAAACTTAAATCAGTTTTGTATAAGTATCTGCTAAGTAAAGCATTTTATAGCATTAGTGAGTTTTACAATGATCGGGATAGGGCAGCCCGGGTTTCATTGGCAGATGATCCTTGAATAAACTTATTAAGCACTCACGGCCGAGAAAAATGATATAAAAATCTGGTTATTGTAGAATACCTTTTGAATTTTGATATTTGACATTTATGTTATTTAATATTTATGTATAGGTATAGGTACAGTTATACTAATAATATTTGGGAAATCGTTAAATAATATATTTTCGTATTCTGACATTGTTCCACACCCCTCCGGGTCTTTTTTATGTTTATTCTAACATTTGAACAAATAAAGAATATCTATCTATCTATCTATACATGATATGCAAATTCTACATTTGACCAAAACAATCTTTTGTATTTTAAAACATTTCAACTTTGATTTATTCATATCTTAAGCCCAGGCACAAGTTCATAATTTTTTGGGGATTTCATGTTTATTGGTTTATTGGTTTCATGTATAATATTTGTATCTATGAATGTATATATTTTGTATTTTAACGAATAAACATTATTATTAGTTATCGTTATCGGAATTCATTCTGCTCCATGCAGAATAAAAAAGTAACTGTTGATGGCTTACTAGCTGGTCTATGAAAGCTTTTCAAGATTTTAACAGGCGAATCGAATGGGGCGTATGCTCGTGTATGCGGTAAAACAGCAAATAACGTGTCAGAGCATAAAGAATGGAATGCCACAGTAAACAATGTACGTAAGGGCTATGACCATATGTGTATTGGTTCATTAAGTTTTCCAATGTGTTAACTCTGCTCTACCCACAATATGGTTCATCTCCCTATATGGTAAACAGATGGGTAAGTAGTGCTTAATTATAACGAAGCTGTAATATGATGACCGATGTGGATCTTATTCGGAGAGAGAATTGTGTTCTAAACTGAACAAACTTTTCAAACTGCTCCTTAATTTCAGCTGTTAGACATTATAATAGCATTATACTTAGGTTTCAGATATCAAGTACATTTTGTGAATGGATACAATCTCAACTCGTACGGTATTAATTTGTGATTTCAAAACGGATGGATAGGGCGGGAATGACCGATTGTGTGGCACAAAGGAATCCAGACAACTCCACTAGATTTTTTGGAGCATATTTAAAATAGTTTGTTCTGGATAAAATAGGCAGCCTCGCATATCGGAAGGGAAGATTATCATTTTGACGTGACAAAAGAAATAAAAAAATGGTGCACATCAAATAGCAAAGAACTTAAGAATCTACTCTCCCATAAAATACCCTTGTTAAATCCATAGCAAGTTCGTTTTATTACAATAACTTCTAAAATAATAAAGTTCTTTAGAAACAGCATGTATCATTTCTCCAGCCGTCATAAAAACTTGATATAAAACACTATAAAGTCACTCACAAGCAAATACAGACAAATAAACTAGTGAGTAAGTAACCACATGACATGTGCACATAAGTTCCAATCATTCAATAATTATAATATTCCACTGCAGATAATGTAAATAATTGCGCATTACTGATTGATGAGAAAAGCGGTAATTCTAGATATTATGTTGGCTGTGTATAATTGTGTGTATGACTGCATGGAAGGTATATTAAGCTCGGCACTAATCAATATTGTGTGAAGCCTATCAAAAATTCGGGGTTTTTGATGATGTCACGGCGCTAGCTTGACCATTATCTACAAGTTCAATATTATCCAAACATACTGTCAGGTCGTTGTTAGATAATTTATTAGCCTGTTTCATGTTATACGCCTACACAGTGAGAAAAAGGCTACTAGAATGCTGAAAATGTAGCAAACTCAGATGTCAGTGATCGTTGTACTCCGACAACCGATCACTTTTTCACATTAGTATATAAACGAGATCTGTTTCTGGCGCGTGTATTTTTATCGAGACGTGAATAAAGCTACCAAAGGCAGCCATCACATAAAACAGTCATATGAAATAGTGCGTTCCCGCGAAGGTTATGGCAAGTTATAGCTACAGACGCTGTCCAGATGACACAATATCGTTGATCAAATAGTGAATGAAGGAGAAGAATAAAGAAGAAAAAAATATTGAATGCACGAAAATGTAACATCGGAAACTTATCCTGTTGTTGTCTGACTAATCAAATCCCATGTTCTATTAGCCGTCAAATGGTTCATTGGTCGCTCGATTGCTCTTGGGATTTGACTGCAGTATACAAGAGCATCTAATGTCTATATCTCTGTTTGCACCCAGAATTATAATATGGATCACAAAAAGCCAAACAACTTATCCCTAAGCGGGGAAAACGAAGTTGGTTGTTAAAAATGGAGATACGACTAAAAGAAGACGAGTTACGCTGAATTCATGCAACCCCTAATTTAACGTAGGTCTTAAAGCAGAAATGGCAACTGCGACCAATAAGGTTCACGCAGATCACACGTTATTGGTTCTGCCTTAAGTTATGTTAAATTAGACATCTATGGATCCAGAATTAGACTCATCCAAAGTAACACTAATTTCACTATTAATTCTTTCCAACAATGAATTTCTGACGGTCCCGATCGGCCATTTACAGTAGGCAATCTCACATGATTCATTTATATGGATTACTGTATTTGACAGTCTCTAATAATCATAAATTCTTCGATAGAAAGGTCCGATTATTACACGAGTGAAAAACATCGTTTTTTCAGGACAATATAGTTTTCTGTGGTTAAATATCCTTGTTATTTATTATACATGTTATATATGTCGATTTCAACAAATTCTGACTAGGTACAAGGAGCAAGCCTACGATTTGTTTGTCTCCAAAATCTCAGTATGAAGTCCGGACGAAAGTGCGCACTACAAGTGGACTTGACATAAGTTAATTTTTTGACAGTTCTGTAATCAAATTCGTACTTTTAGTGTTATTTTTTGACAATGCGAGTGTCTGCAGATAATTGCAAATGCAAAGAACGGCACAAGCCTAATAAAGGTAGATCTCACCAGTAACTATTATTATTATGTTGATACTACGTTGTCACTTTAATAGGTTATGCTAGCCAAAAGTATGCACTGAAGCTTCGCAATTTTGGCGACAAATAAACATCGAAGTATTCGAATTCGTTACATTGATCCAACAATATCAAATGCATACAATTCCACGTATAATATCTGTAACATAATTTTATTCGCAGATCTTATGAACTTATAAAATGTAAACATAAAAACTTGAGTAACTGGCAAAGACATAATAAAATAAAAAAGAGTCATTGACTGATATTAAAAACATTTTCAAATATTGAAAATTGTTTCACTCATCCCAGTCAATTAGGTTTAATACATATAGTTTTGATAAAATACAATAAAATTTCAGTGAAAGTTAACATAAAAATATTACGGCAACATTTTTTTAAATTGTCCATCATTTCGACAGAATCACAATATACTATTTATTTCGATCTATTGGTGAATACAGGGTGTTTCAGAACTAAGGGGTTATTCAGTGTAACAGTAGAAAACATTTGAGTATAGGGACCCATATCTGGAAAAGTGTCACTACTGCCCTTAGCCGCGTTAAAATTTAGAAAGACCATGAGTTGCCTAAATAGGATTTAATGCATTTAATTTTTGCCTTTTGTACATGATATCATCACAATTGTTCAAAATGTCTTCCTCCAACCTGAATACACCGCTCCTGTGGGGACATGTAGTCTTTGGTTTACGAAACTCCAGGAGAAACAGAGCAAGACTTAATTGGACGAACTGCAACAGCATTTGAAATCATTCAAAACGAGTATCAAATTTTTAGTCAAGTCCGAAGAAATCATGTGCGACGTTTAAATCGGTCTATTCAGGTTGGAGAAAGACATTTTGAACAATTGTTGTGATGATATCATGTACGAAAGGCAAAAATTAAATGCATTAAATCCTATTTAGACAATTCATCGTCTTTCTAAATTTTAACGCGTATTAGGGTCGTAGTGCCGTAGTGACACTTTTCCGGATATGGGTCCCTATACTCAAATGTTTTCTACTGTTACACTGAATAACCCCTAGAAGTTTAATCCCTTAGTTCTGAAACATCCTGTATAATTTACAAAGTCAAGATCGTAGCGTAGGGGACTACATAAGATTAAATGAGGTTGTTGTTGAGCATGCATGCAACTAAATACAACTATTATGTCGCCTTTGCCCGAAAATAGGTTTGTGCAAGAGCTCGAAACAAGTGTGTCTTGTACACTAGTCAGTTTTTATGACATTCAAATCCAATCTATAAGTAATCGAAAATCATTGTTATCCTTGAACGGTTTCGAACCGCAGCCAGTCATGAATCACAAACGCAACTATTACAATGCTGTATCCGATTGAGTTCTGAACCATAAATATCCTGGAAAAAACCTGTATAAATCCCACACCCTCACAATGGTTGGTAAACAAAGGCACCATCCACCTGCACTGCACTAAGGGCCGTATTCCGTACTACCTGTCCTGCGCCATGGAACACATAACCTCACTTTTCGCGACCACCCGTCTCTCAGCACTGACTGTCCAACAGGTTACGTTCGCGGTCGCGGAATTCCGCTGTAGTGAGTCACTTGTGCGAAAAAAGAAGGTGAAAAGGCTCACAATAGGAAGGAGTATGACCACTACAATACCAACGAATATTGTTGTGCCAAACGGCTGTAGCTTTGACGTTGACGCGGCCGATAGTGAACGGAAGATCGTCTGTTGTTTTTAGTCGCGGAGGGAACTCGGGCGGCCGTGGAATATCGCTGCTGGTTGCCTGGCCGACCGACAACACATCGCAGCAGGCAGACCGGCATGGCAGCTCCAATGTGTACATACAGCAAGTAGAGGCGGAGGTTAGGGGGAAATTCTGAGAGGGATTAAACGGAAAAGTATCAGAATACCAGAATGATATTTCATTCGCCAAAGCACAGTTTGCTTAAACTCTTGCTAACGGAAAATCATGGACATAGGATATTCTACTGTGTCAAATCATAAGATACACGTCTGTTGAACAGAAATAACCTGTTCAATTTCCGGTATTGTTTGTCTCATCAACACTAATGTATCAAGTTGTAACACAGAACGAACTTGTACTGCTCTACGAATTCAGACATGGTAGAAAGAGCCAGTCAAGAATTTGTTTATCTCCCAATTTTGTAGTATGTAGTGAGGATCAAGTGCACATAACATAAGCCTTTTTTTGACAGGTATGTCATTAAATTCATATATTTAGTGTTATTTTTTTAAAGTGCCGGTGTCGGCACATAATTGTGGAGTTGGACGATTTCAAGTCGTCTTACATAATTTGCAAAGGGCGGCTCAAGCCTAATGAAGGTAGATGTTTACACCAGTAGGTGTTATTGTTATGATGATATAACGCAGTCACTTTAGTAGGCATTGGCAGACAAATGAGTCAAAAATATGCACTAAAACTACTCAATTTTGGCGACAATGTACGTATAATGCTTGTTCTAATCTATTCGTTGGTGCCGCTTAATAAGGTCTACTCAGATCATTCGTATTCATACGTAGAATACTTCTGCATGACTATTTCGACTCGCATTAGGCCTCAACTATCGGTTAAAAAGATGAAGTCGTCAAAAATTGACTTGGGCTAGTTTTGCATTAAAATAACACAAGCAAAATTCATTATTTATTGTTAGAATTACTATTTATTTGTTTTTTTTTTATTTCTAAACACAGGTTTAATTAGGAAATACAATCCCTTTAAACCTTGTGTCAGTTGTACGTGTGTCAAGTCTGGAAATTGAGGATCCAGAACATGCTGAAGTAAATGAGAGTAGATGAGTTCAATTAAACTGCCATTAGGATCTCATAGAAACGGATATAGATAAGCCGCTACAACTTAAATACCAACTCAAATTTGACAGATCACGCAGAAGTTTGTGACTTAACTGATACTTGTTTCGCAGACAGGTACCAACAGTGTCATGGGCGCTCTCAGAATCTGGATGGTACTTCAAATTTGCATGTTTACCATGATGTTATCTACATTTTTGTTTTTTTTATATTTGCCCCACCCTGGCAAAATTTGCTACCTTTGCCCTTTAAAAAGTTTTTGGGGCAGGTACACTTCCACAAAAGAATGAATAGTTTTCAAAGTAACGGGATTAAAAAAAGTACTCGCCACTGTCGTAGTGTCGTATGATAGCGTACAGCCAGAACTCGAAATAATAATAATGAAGTTTCCTATTTTTTGAAACACACTTAAAACGATAGTCTAGGTAAAGTGAAGTGTACAGCACTGACGGAAAAATTTTTATATCTTAAAAAATGACAAAGGTACGGTACCCAGAAATTTCTTGCCTGGAGAATTGTCGGAGCGTGAGTGATGACGTCACATGACACTAACTCACATCGCTACCACAACTGTTGCGCTGCTCCGTATTTACGATTTACGGTAAAAATGGGTGAAAAAATTGGTCAAATCATCGACTTATATATGCTGTACCAGAATATAGAAGAACTAAGAAGAAGTGGTGCAAAGGACATGGACGACAAAACTGCCTTTTTCGGAAATATCATTGTACTGCTGTAAATATCATTTTGATGTTAGTAGATATGTAGTTAATAGGGTAAAGGTAATCAAAACACATAAAAGTGTATATGCCTATTATGATGGATAAATAACCTAATTGGCTTAAAAGAGAACAGGGATAGATTTGATTATTGCTTTTATTTCGAGATAATGTGAATATTATTATCGCGATAATTTTGTTTGTGGCTGGAGGGTGGATACAAGGGATGTCTTTTAAGTTTTGTATATGGAAATGAAACAACACGTTAGGTAGTTTTAAATGGCAATTATTCCAATCGTTTGCTGGCAGATCCAAAACGGCATTTTTGAATGTGTCAACTGCTTCTTCTGGTGACTGGAACCTTTAACCACGCAGTCTGTTTTCAATTTTCGGGAAAGTAAAGGAATCGTTAGGACTTAGATCGGGACTATATGGAGGATCGTCCAATAATTCCAAGTTTTCTTCCGTTAAATACTGCCTTGTTTTTTGGGCGGTGTGTGAGCTTGCATTGTCTTGGTGGAGGATGATTCTTCTTTCGGGGTTGATTTTTCGAAGCTGGGTGATGGCTTTTGGCAAACAAATGGTGGTATACCAATCCGCAGTAACAGTTCTTTGCTCATTAAGAGGAATTGTTGCAATATGACCCGCTTTTGACACAAATGTCGCGACCATCTTTTTCGAAACACTTCGAGAACGGATGACTTTTGTTGGCTTTTATTCACCTTGGAACACCCGACTGTCGTTTATTTTCTGGCTCATAACAGTAAATCCACGATTCATCACCACTAACAATGCTGTACACATTTTTTGAGTTTCCGGAATTGGAACGGTCAAGCGTTTTTTGACACCAATTAACCCTGGCTGCTTTCTGCTTTTCAGTCAACATGTGGGGTATCCAACGAGAAACTAATCTTACTCCTAATTCTTCATGTAAATTTTTTTGAACTGAGGTCTTTGAGATCTTCAAGGACGCCTAAATCTCGCGATATCTCACATGTCTATCTTCAATGATGACTTTGCGCACAGCATCGACGTTTTCCTGGGTGACTGCCGTTTTTGGTGCACCCACCCTGGAATCGTCGCTAAGACTCACCCGTCCACGTTTGAATTCTCCATACCAACGGGAAATTGACTGATGTGGCGCTTCGTTGCCGAAAACAGACAGTAACTCAGCAAGGCATTCTTGTTGCGATAATTGTCTCTGAAAGTTGTAATAAATTATGGCGCGAAAATGTTCTCGGTTCAGTTCCATTTTTCTAATGACTTGGAGACACTTAAAAATTCACTGTAGTGAAAACACTGCACGTATTGTTGTGAAACTTTGAATTTAAGTTTACCAAAGAGTGAGGTTAAGATTCAGTACTGACGTTCGATCCGCGCGGCCTACTATGTTTCTATATGCAAAACTTAAAAAACATCCCTCGTAATCCTTGAATCTTGTCTGTATCGACGTGGAGATGCATAGTCGTGGTGCCGGAAGCAAAAACCTGACCAAAAATGCAAAATAATTGTATAATCGAATAGTGTCACGTTTCAAAATAATCAGCTGTACTGAGATGTGGCAAAATAAATTGCGGAGTCGGAGGCTATTATGATATGGCATTGTATTAAACTGTTAATGTGTGCCAAAGCATAAATCTTTGGTGTGGTATATACAATCATTAACCATTATTAAATCTACCTTTGGAAGATCACTGGAAACGGTACTCAGAAAATCTTATATAATATCGCACAGCACTCTACGCACAAATACGAAAAATACATTGCCACTGGTTAGCTTGAGCGCGGATAAATTCGATATGCAACTGCCGTCGCCTCATCCGGCCGTGTCAATGCCGTGACCTAGAAGTCGAGCTTATGTCATGTGACGTCACGACCAAAAACCTACGCGCGAGGGCGGTCGGTTACAGCACCCAACCAAATGACATAACTTCCTTAAATTTGAAGTAATCGGAATGATTATTTCAAATTTGAGAAATATATAAGATATAGTATTATATACAAGTGAAACAACAGGATTTTCGCCTATAGGAAACTCCCTAATTGCGCGACGGAAGTCTTCCTCATTTTAGGAAAATCGGAACAATTACCAACCATACAGTGAGGTTGTCGCTTCCGCCAAATGGTATATAAGTTATTTCCGACTACATACTCAGAGGGGATTTCATCACTAATCTGGGAGAGTCACTTAAAAGGGTTAAGACGAAGTTAACAGAGCTCACACTAAGCTTATCCTATAAAGAAGTGAACAGTGAAAATGACTATAATAAATTGATTAACGCGTTCTAACTAAAGACAGCTAACCTAGGCCCAGGCGTCCACAAAAATTATCTGAGATGAAATGATATTCTGGCGGCACCTATAAGAATGTCCTACACCTATGTTTATTTCCTTCGCAATACTTGGCTATTTATCTGTAAGGGTCGTATCGTCAGTCGTTCCTACAACTGTAGGACGTCTTTATGGCCTCCTTGATTTTCATAGTTTTCTACTCCTCCGTGTCAGTGCTCTATTTTGAGGTTATGTCACAGATATTTGCATCAAATTGTTCATGCTTTTGATTTATATCATCTGGTATAACAGCCGGAAATTTCCTAAGATTCCAAAAGAAAACATAGTCTCACAATAGGAGAGCGCTGACGCTGACACGGTACACTAGAAATCTAGCAATTCCACAGCCTTTCTGAAGGAGATAAAAAACTATGACAATCAAGGAGGACATGAAGGCGTCCTACAATATTGTAGGAACGTCTGACGATACGGCCCTAAGGTTAGTTGTACGTGGTGCTGTAGCCAACTATATGCTCATATACTGTGCGAAACATTTGTGGATAAGGTCGACCGAGTTTCAATGTGTATGAGAGAGAAGCGTGCAACACGTATTAGAAAGAGTAATTCATTGCTGTCGATGCCAGGTACCGTGGTGATTACTTGTGGGCGCACGCTTTCCAACCGTTTCTAACATACCTGTTGTGTGGCTCTGATACACACTGAAACCCGGCAGACCTCAACCGTAAATGATTCGCACGGTATGGAAATTCCTAATCTATTCTTACACCCCTAGAAGTTGACTTTTATATATTTACGTTTCTCTTAAGACATCTTGGAAGATAAAACATTCTAAATTGAGACAGATGTCCTGAAATCGGGCTATACTCGGAGTTCCATGAAAGCATATCAAAAGTTTGTTTCTGATTAAACTATGAAGATATTTCTTTAAAGCTCTACAAAATCATGGAAACGGAGAGTCACCTGAATGATTGCTTTATGTCAGAATGACGACAAACTAGAACACAATCAAGTGGTGTTAACATCCCTAATCGAATGTTCTACGCCCCTCTTAAAACAAACTATACCCAGGAGTAACATTTCAACGATCAACACGCGTCCAATACGCTTGGAAGTTCTTTAAATAGACAGATTCATGTCCGATGCCCTCTCCGCGGTCTGACTGATACTCCTTCAACACCCCGGTACCTAATTTTAAACTCTATGCATGAAAAATATTCCATCCTTCCGTTAGTCCAGACGTCTCCAAAGTTCAAAGCGAAACGGCAGCCTGAATCAGTGACGTAGAGGAAACAGGAAAAGTAGTAAGCTTTTTTAACAAAGACAATTCAAGGAATATATTTGATACTGTCTAAGCTTATTGGTCCGACAAACCCCGTTACCCCATCTCGGGCCCATGTCTGTATACAGGATGTTTCCTAAGCATGGTTCAAAAATTCAAGGAATTATTCCTTGGAAAATTTGAAGAAAATATCATTGATAAATTTTGAAATGTCACTTTTGTTTCAACAATGCAGGATCAACTGATTTTTGACAGTATCATTTTTTGCAAAAAGACATGTTTGTTGATCTGATCTGATTGTCATAACTATCTTAAGATATAAGCAAGCAGCCAATCTTCCTGTGCTTATTAAGCTATTTTCGAAACATTCGGGATTTTTGTTGTTAATAAATCGGATCCATTTTTCAAAATGATATGCCCTTATAAATTGGTGTAAATTGAAAACTTCAGATAGATGGCAATTACGCCATACTATTTTTTCATCTTGCCGAATTTTACTCGATATCTTCGGAAAAGAACGCCTATTCGAAAATTGCCAAAGAATAAGTGATGAGCAAGGAATAACTTCGGTTAAGGAAAGGATTAGAAATTCGAAATTAGAATTTGATAATTGACTCTTACAAGGAGAGGTTTCCTGGACCCGAAAACCGATTTGGTGAAAAAAAAATCCCATGCGTAGGTCTTGACCTGCGAACTCATGCCTTAACAACGTCTCGTCCAATGCGCTTTAGTTCGAGAGAATATGGCCAATGAAGAGCGTCATAGTACCTAATTCCGTTCAGAAACACTGGTTTTTTAAGCTCACCACGTGGCGTATTTGATTTATTTTTTTGTTATTTACATTTTGTAAAAACGCTTAATTTCTTATACATGTTATGCAAGGACGTTTCGTGATATATTGGGATTATTTTATGAATCTACATTCATGAAATAATCCTTCAATATGGGAGATATCATTTTCAGTAGATTTCAAATGATGAAGAATTGAAATCCTTGGCACATTCCTGGCAAATAGGTGGCGCAACCGTCTGACAAACGTCAACGGTATTGCAATCGTTTAAAGTGGAGCTCCCACTTCTTCAGTGTTATTTGTTCTATTGCTTAGACCATAGAGCTATGAATGGTCTTCGTTAATGCAATATATGAAGCAGATGTTACATTAAAGTCAAACACATCGAGCTACTACAAGTGAATGATAGGTAGTACGTAGTAGAAATGAAGACGATCACGAGTGTCAGTTCGCGTCTGACAATCGCTATCCATCATTTTGCAGTTATGTAATAAGTGTGTCGGTGTTCAAATGATTAGCCTCTACCGGCAATTGCACAGTCAAATATGCATCTGCACACTGTCAGCATCAAATTATTTAGAACAGGTTCTGAAAATGTTTGCCCTAAATTTCTTCATACAAAATTATGCTGTCTGTTGTGCGAAATTTGGCGAACTATATCCAGCACAAAATCTCATGTCGTGACAGAGAGCCCTCAAGTAAAATAAAAAGGAGGGGATGTCTTCGGTTGAAGCGAGCGGACAGGAACTATACTTTGGTTTCTGGGAAGGATGGTGGCATCACTCAAAATCTCTAACATGGACAGTTTATCTGCCAGTGAATCTATTTAGTTTTCATACCTAGTATGTAGAAAAAGCCGACAAAATCTTGGTATTCAGTAACAATCTAATTAAGGGTTACGCCTATGTTGTGCTTGAAAGAACCGCCGCGGCAGCCCCGCCGTGAAATCCACTAAAATATTCTCTAAATGCACCGGTGCGATGCGGCTACAACGTTGCCAGTCCCTGTTCATGTCTGTTCTGTGCCTTCGTCCAGTTCGCTGCCAGACAGACAAATCGATCCGTACCTTGCATCGTTGCCACTATAGCAACCAAATTCTAACTGCTTATACAATGTCTAGAGTAGTAGATAATACTAATTGAAACAGCGATAAAGCCCGGAGCTACAAAAGGTGCAAAATGCTTTATAGACAAGTGATACAGCAGCACCGTGTATCTATCCAAATATTCGTTTTAATTATCTTACGTAGTTACTAGTCAATGTCGCGATATACTTCGAAGTTGAGTCATTTATTTTAACAGTGAGTAGATCTGATCAAAAGAAATGTTTTTTTCCTTTAACATTTCTCTGGTAAAATTAAAGTAACAAAGTTATAGCCCTTTAGAAGTTTGAGTACCGCCCTGTCTCAATAATAATATTATGCGCTCGTGTTTGGCAACAACGGATATAATCCGCCTTATCGGTTCATCGCATCGGAAACAAAAAAGCGAAAGAATTTAAAACGTTTATCACGAATGTTTTTGATCAGTCGGTAACGCGTGAGTGAATAGTGGTGTTTCTTGCGTGACTCAAACGAAATGAAAAATGGCACCTGTTTACGAAAATGCTGAACTTGTGGACATGATTCTCATTTACGGGGGGGGGGGGGGGAGTCTTTACAAAATGCTGCCGCGGCATCACAGATTTGTGCGAATCGGTTTCCCAATCGAGTGCAACCAACCCCTCGTGCCTTTGTTAATGTAGTACAAAGGGCTCGTGAATCAGGTGACTTAAGACCTCACAGGGGAAGGCATGCCGGTGCTCCAAGACCGCACGATCAAATACAGGTCCGCACTGAAATACTTGTCGGGAGGATACTTTACAAAACAAGGTAACATTTTTTTTTATTTTT